TTTTCTTGTTTATTGTTTCTTGTTTATCTTCTTTTTCAACAAGTGGAAAAAATTCGAAGATATAATATTTAGGTATAACGATAAACAAAAATGGTAGATAATGTACACCATGGGTTAATTTAATTGACGCTGTGTCTAATTATAGATGATCCCCGAGCGGTTATTACCCATAGCTCTACAATTAAAGTGATAGTGATATTGACTGTTATTTAACAGAATAGAATAAATAAAAATAGTATAAATATTAAATTGTGATAGATAGACACTGTCTTGTAGAGAGTACCTTATGTGCAATGTATGTATTTGTTACCGTCTATGTTGACCAACAACTAGCAAGGTTAATGATTGTTTCTTTTTAGTTTTGTTAAGTTTTTTAAATATTACCTACTATGTATTTCAATTTATTTTTACTGAGCAGGCATATGTAAAGAATTATTTTTCTTTGGGGGAAATTTGTTTTTACACCCTACGAAAATAAAATGTTTATGAACATATATGTGTAACATAAGAGGCTTAGCCCTCATGGGTTTCCTAAAAAAGGTTGGTAAGATTACGAATTAGGTAGGATCCTTAAACCTAACGCTCCTAACTAACGCTCCTCAATCTTTGATGAATATAGTCCCCCTACAACATTTTTCCCACTTTAATCGCTGCTTATCAACGATATTCTATTATATAAAATATTATACTCATATTACTTCTTTCTTTTTTATTTTGTCCATTGTTGACGACCAAATTAATTTTTTAAATTATAAATCTTACATACTAAAACCTTTGATACAATAAAATATGAATCAAATATGTCCCTTTATAAAATTAGGAAAAATGCATACACAATTTTTATGCATGAATATATAATAAGGGACAGCCTTATTGTTTTCGTACTAAGTGAAATAAGCTGTATTTTACTCAAATTATTATGGATATGAAGTAAAATGTTATACCTAAATTTTCAGCATCAATGATGACCATCGATTGAATTTTACATTCAGCTTACAGCGTGTAGATAAAAAAAATAAGTGCTGAATTTTATAGTACTGTTGAAACCTTAATACATATTATTTTAATTCAAAACGATAGATGTGAGACAAAAAACCTATAAAAATATAGTTTTCATAGGACCTACATAATTTTTCTATCTCAAATAATATATTTTATACATATATATTTCTGTATATCTTAATTTTAATTAAGTACTATACGATGTACAATACACATCATATAGTCTAATACGCATTTACAATTTATTACACGCCAACTTTATTTTTTTAGTAGACTTTATATGATGGCCCAACGGTTATACCGTAACGTAATCATCTGTTTGGATAGGTAAACATATGAAACAGAATTTATTTTTGTTATCTAATGTTCTAGTACACATTAATATTAAAATCTCGTTATCAGCCGAACTTTCTGTAACATACTACTATGTCCTGCAGCCATAATGTAAAACATAACATTGCAAACTGAACTGTGCAACGACATTTACATAAATATATACATTTATATAATAGTGACAAATGACAATATACATGACAAATGAGTACAATAAATGTTAACTGATTCGGTTTATAAATCCATTATACTGTTAATTGACATGTAATATTTTAGCATTCAGTTTTGATCAGTGAGCACTAGCCTGTTTTAATAACCATGTATAGGTATTTATTATTATAAGCCCTTTATAGCTACGTTTATGTTATTTTATTCTTTTGTGGGGATGTACAAATGTTTTTGTAAGCCGTTATTCGCTAATAGTAAAACGCAATAATATATACATAAATACGTTCGCAATGGACATTTTAATCATCGTTAAAAATCACTGTCGTTTCGTTTATATATTGTAGATTGAATATTAAAATGTACACTTATTCGCGTATAATATATAAAATAAAGTGTATTGTGTATGCTTCCACGGATCTAATGATTCAGCACTGAGCATATTATATTTGCACTGGTTATAATATACTTTTTTTTTAGTTTTAATAATAAATATAAAAATAAATTCAAATGCTGCAGTAAAGAGTGTAAACACTTTTTGCAGCATCGACTTGAAGTTGAAACACGCGCGGCACACCGAGAACGTGATTTATGAAATTCCACTCGAATCACGATTCGCGTGGTATCGGTACATATTACGTTATACATGTTATGTTTGTGATTTATAAAAGCTGTACTACCGATCGTACATTTCATTCGATTTCCAAGTTATTATCGGCGATATTTCGTCACCGGTTAAAGCCGTACGTTTTAATAAAATATCGAATATGCATTAGTAAAACACTGCATGTTTACGTATAACTGCATCGTGGGTACGTACGAGAAAATATTCCGTGGACGGTTGTAATATAAAGTTTTTACTCGAATATCTATTTTTTTCTTTCTCCTTATCGCACCCCAGAGTTCGCTCGTAAAATAATAAAGACCAATACTGCGTGTACATTTGTGTACGTACAATTATATAGGTTACGTATTACACGCGCATTCGAACGAATACCAACGACGAATAATGTCTCGCCGCAAAAGTCGCCCGTGCGTCGTATTGTGTTGTTATTGTCATCGTACAGCCGGCGCACACCCATATGGTAAAAATGTAATGCGACAAGAGAAAACGTTTTTTTTTATTATTATTATTATTACTACAACCTAAATGCATACGTACACAAATGTTTGCGTCATGCAGTGCAAATGGCTTTGACACGACAGGCAAAATAATAATAAGTCCGTTTTTAACACGTCTCCCAAACTCGCCGCTAATATTGCATTTATGTAAATGTAATTTCCCCGTGGTATGGGCCGGAAGAGGCAGGATTTGATTTGTCATTCAAATGTGTATCATACTACAGACAGGGGCGTATAAACAAATTTTCATTAGAAAACATTAAAAAAGTTGTCACCAAATTACTAAAATATGGTATACATGTTTTTTAGAGATTCGGACGATACTGAATACATTTTGTTTTTAACAAAGAGGTCACTCACCTCTTATCAAACTCCTATTAAAGATGTTGAACTTTTCAGTTATAGCACAAAAAATATTCAACATTACTACGAATATCGTCTTGATTTCCAGTAACTTTTGAATGCCATGTAGCAGCCATGTAAATCTAATCTATTGTGTGATAATATCACGTTATATTATAACGTCGTATTAATTTTTTGGATTTACCCTGTGCAATTAAATCAATTATCAATTATGACATATTCTTATTGTGCCTACGGGCACAGATTGAATATTTCTAGTTAAAAAATAAAAAAAAAAACCCTGTGCGATTATCGGTCACGTTGTCTGATGATAATATTATAACAATAACGGATAATAATTTGTATGAAACCAGAGATTTTAAACAAAACATTGTTCAAAATCTCTGTATGGAACACACACATAATAATAATTTATTTATCGGTATTTTTCTCGAAATTGGTGACTGGTCTGTGTTGTTTGCACGTTTACTGCTAATCAAACACACGCCTGTCTTATATTTTTCTATAAAGTATATTATTTCATACATTTTTAATTCATTTTGATATGTTTGTTTCTTTTTTTTTCATTTTTTTATTTTTTTAAAAAAAAATGTTCAGTATATTTAATATAAAGAAAAAGCCTAATAAGAAAACATTACCACCAACTAGGGACAACAAAGACTTTGCAGTGGATGATCTAATAAAGTAAGATAATAAGATATAAGATATAAGATGATCTAATAAGTCCAATAAATAGTAAAATTAAAATTAATAATTCGTCAATACCTGATGATCTTAACAATATTCTACCCGAGCATTCTGAAATTGCATTCAATGACTCATTTCTGCTAGACTTATGGAAATTGGAAACAAGACCAACTAAAATTAAACTAAACGCAAGTACAAGAGGTGGACAAAAAACATAGATGTTTTTAAAACATCAAGGTTTATGTTCGATACATCGATGTTTAATTTTTGATACATCGAAGACAACATCGATTTTTTATTGATGTTTTGAAATTTTTTATAATAGTTTTTCCTTAAAATTATTTGTATTACAGTTTTGCCTAGCACCAAAAGTTGTCAGTTGTCACAAATGTATGTATGTTTATTCAGAGCATTTTTTAAACATAGAAACTAGGCGTTACAAATGTCGCTCAGTGGCAATTTTCTGTCGCTTAGTTGATAGTGTTTTGAAAAATTGGGTAAAATACAATTGACTGTTGAAAGAAGATATTTTATAAATTATTTAAAAAAAATAAATTTAATTTAATAACTCAAAATGAATTGTTTTTTTTTTTTGTTATGTATTGTAAAATAAAATGTCAGGTTAAGAATAAGACACCTATAATTTATTTTTTCTAGAAAATATTCTCTTTCGCTTTAATTCAAACTGAAGATAAGGTTATTTTTAGGAATACATTTTTCTAGTCCTATAATATAGCCTCCACAGATAATAATACCAAACTACGCCCATGATGTATACTTAATTTCATACTGTTTTTATGAAGGAGAAAAAGGAAAACAAATGTATGCAGCTTTTTAAAATCATTTTTAGAGAAATCAAATTCAACTCATATTTTATCGCAATGTCTAATAAATTTGACAAAAAATATAGTTAATGAAGGCGTTATTTTGAAATTTCAAACTTATAAACACTGGACCGTACAGTCAGTTAAACGTTGAAATTGTAAATGTTAAATCGATTTATAGATATATGAACAAAATCAATTCAAACATTTATCTTCGATTTACTTATCTATTTTTAAATAATAATTTTAATAACAGTTGCAATTTTTCAATCTGTTACTTTATGCGTTCAATAACTAATAAAGTTTAAATCAAACTTGTCGATTTTCACGCACAACACACACGTTTGGACGGCAACGTACGGAATACGAATTAGACAGCGTTATCTACTGGTCGGAAACAAAAAAGAGACAACGACGCCGTTACCGTCGGTTGGTCACACTGTAACGGCACATCTGATTTGCGCCGATACCTAATGCTGTTCTTCTAATCGGCCGCAACATAAACAAAATACGGTTGTGTGCGTTGTTGAGTATGGTATCCGCCGGCTGTCGTTGATCATTGATTACGAATATTCGGTCGGTACAATTCGGTCGTCGCAATTATCGAGTCTTGAATTGCGCGGTGCAGTGGCAGTTTTTCGTGTATCGCGCGTTCGATTTTTTTCTTGTTTTGTCGTGCACGACATATTACCGATCGGGCTTCAACAATGGCCTTACGCACGTACGGCGACAAACCGATCAGTTTCCAAGTAGAAGAGAATGGCGAGTACTACTGTATCGGATCCGAGGTGAGTACGGTTTTATTTCGGATTCAGCATTTTTCACGTTTTTCATGTAACTCATGTGTTACTACGCCTTTTGCGTGTCCTTATTTAGGTTGGCAACTACTTGCGACTGTTTCGCGGGTCCTTGTACAAACGGTATCCGGGTATGTTTCGGAGGACCATCACGAATGACGAGAGGAAACGTTTAATCGATTTAGGTAATATGATATTAATATTTTTCTTCGAGCAATTATTTACACACCTATACCCGCCAAATTAACTCAGCCGAACCTAATAGACATTTATATATTAGTTTTTTACCAATTTATGGTAATCAATCTTAATCAAACAATTTTATCTAATCTACCATTGAAATGTATTTGTTTTTTCTCTTTTCTTGCAATTCCTTGCATTCTATTTCATTCTATTTTAGTTTACATATTTATTTATCAATCTAAATTTGAATTAAATTGTTAATTTTGTTGTAAATGTTAATAGCACTAAAAAAATATTGTTTCATTATAATTTATAAAATTACATTTATTTTAGGTATCTGTCATAATTTTATTGTTATTTATATATTATATATCACTGACTCATTAGTTGCAATTTATAAACATGCGTATATGAAATATAAAAAATATATACTTAAAATGTTGTTACATTAAACTGTATCATTATTATTTATATAGGTTTAAGTGCGCATTGTCTAGCGTCAAGTGTGTCACTGTTAAGAGCATCTGAAGTTGAAGATATTATTGATGGTAATGATGAACGCTACAAAGCTGTATCTGTAACTTCTACCGAACCGTTAATTACCAGGTATAAATTCTAGTCCTTAATTATAATTTAAGTTAATAATGTTTAACTTTTATTTATTACTAAACATATGAATGTTATTGGTTATTTTTCGTTTCTGTGAATGTCACAAAACTAACTATACGAAAAAAAGATTTAAAACCAACTGATATCCTAAATAAGTATTGGGTATTGGAAAATTCTTGTTATACCATTTAATTCCATTTACTATCTTGAATGCTGCTGAATGGCACTTTTTGAGGAGATGAGGTGATCCCTTTTGTGAGATATAAATATTAAATTAATGACTAATGTCATTAACCTTGATACCCTGCTTCACGAGATGATCACTCACATTTAATATTGTACATCGACAACATTAATGTTATTTTATTAAAAATTGTCAGTATAGTATTGTGCATAATGCTTGGCATGAACATTGTAGTAATTGTATCCAGTTGAGAACAGTCCGGTCTTATTTTAAATGTGACCGTTCTGAACTAGATAATTATATTAATTTTTTTAACCGTACCAATTTGTGAAATATATTCTTTAACCCAGATCAATTTAAACCAAATTTATAAAAAAAATTAAAAGTCCGGACCAGCCTGAATTATATATTTAAAAAAAAAAACCAGCCCAAACCATACATTGTTAATAAAAACCCGTACCAGAACAAACATGGTCATTTAGAACCCTCTGAGTCTACGACTACACGTCTTCTGTCTATACACATTACATAATACATAATATACCATACATTTAGTGTTAATACTTCATAGTGGATGGAAAAAAATATTTAATACCAGATGAGACAAGATGAGTGAGACGGTCATATTTGAAGAAATACGAACAAAATGCTATTTATTAATAATTGGGAATAAATTAGTAAATAATACTATTTTCAATTTTTTAAAGTACATAATTTCAAATTATAGACCGGACCATATCAGTAATAATATAAAACATTTATGATTGGACAGAACTCAATCCATCACATGATTACCCTGGACCCGAACCTTAACCAATAATATTTAAAGCATTTTAACCAAGATCGGATTCTGGTCTGGGTTAACCTGGGACCTAGCTGATCTCTGGTCTCCAGTGTCTATGAAAAATGTATTTAATATACCTAAATTCTATGTAATTTTACCATTATGTAACATAGTGATTATAAATATTAAGTGGTGAAGTTTATTAGTGACTTGAATATTATGATAAGTTCTCAGTATCTCAATTTTTCCATTAAATATAAATATAACATTTAATTTTTAATCTTACCTATACTAATTAGTATATAATACACTTGTCATTAGTCTTTAAGACTGTTCAATTGTATATGCTTACTAGTATTGGTATGTTATTTTGATTATAATTTATTTAATAATAATTGATTTAGTATTATTATTGAGATCTTTTTTTTTTTTTAAAAGAAAGAAGGTAAGTATTAATATTTGATTGACTATCTTAATGCATTTTTAATCCTTCATTGACTTAACATTTTAGTTTTCTTTCTTCCTCCATCTTCTCTTTTAGCTAATATATATTTTGTATTTGTATTCAACATGAATTTAGTCACATATGATAGAATCAGATTATATGGTAGTGCTTACATACTTTTTTTTGTTTTGCTTATATTTAAATAGAAAATAAAACTGTAGCATTTAAGCTGCTGTTTACACACTAGGCGAATTATTTGTGAGCAGACGGGGTTTTAAATCTCTAGCTTACACACCTAGATATAATTTACGCGTTTAAAAATACCTCCAAAACCAAATAACCTAAACAAAATATTAAAAATAAAACCATCACTTGTGATTCTTGTACCAGAGAACATCACAAAGTCTTTTATGGTAGTCTTTGCTACAGGAATACCATATTTTATTTAGCAAAACCTGGAACAAATTTTTTTTTTTTAATTTTTTCTTATTGACAAACTATTGATTTTTTGATCATACATGTATAATTATTACAAAAATGTAATTACTTATTAATTTTTTACTTGCATGGAGTAATACCCAGATACCACAATAATCCTCACTTAACCCTGAAAATTTACCCCTGGATAAAAGGTCTAAAATAAACACTGATTACAGTATGACTACTCTATGCTACAATACTACACTACAGTAATTAGTTCATTACAACTGATAAAATATAAAATAATGGCTGATTCGTTAGCAATAAATATAAATATTGTGAGGGAACAGAAATCTGAAGAACGTATTTGACCAAAAAAATCGTCATTTAGAAGGTAAAATTATTAAAAATAGATCTTGTCAGTCAATTACACAATTTTTTATTCTTTCATAACAACATTATTATGATTTTTCAATCTAAAGTTTAATAAAATACAAACATACATTATTGAAGTCTTATCCCGGGATAGTTGGCTGTCCCGAAACACATCTTCGGGACATGGAGACGCCATATTCAAAATCAGTACTGTCCCAGCCAAACCGGGACGTATGGGTAACCCTACTTTGCCATCTTAAGCCAACTATTATTTTTAATAATTCTATTGTGATATTCTACGGTTTCTACAATGTGTATAATATAATTAAAAAATTATTTGGTCAATCATGTTTTCATAAAATGTATATTAGGTTAGACGACGCGAACATCCGCCCAGTATGAATAGTCCTAGTCAAAACAACAGGTTTAATTTTAGCTGCCTTTTGCGAATGTTTGCTCAAAATTGATCGCGAACGATGGTGGATTTTATCCGCTTGGTTTTCATAGTGTGAATCTAAATTAATGGTCTAATGTTATCTAGGCTGCAGTGGCGCAACTAGGGTTCATATCTTGGGGTGCTACCATAATGAATCGTTCATAAAGCCGTGGAGGGCTCTGCCCCCTACACCCCCTAGCATAATATATTACTATTATTTACATTATACTACTGTTCGCAACTATACCATTAATAGAAAATAAATTTAACACATTTTATTTTTTCATTATATTATTATATTTTAAAGCGTCAAACATATTTATCTGTCAATACTTGCAAATGTATTTAATATTTTTTCAGATTCAATATCATTAGCTAAGTCTCTCTCAATATTTATGATACTTAAATAAGTAAAGCGCTGCTGTAACATGCTGCTCTGCAGCAAATTTTTCAATCTCCTCATAGAAGAAAAACTTCGTTCACATGTCACAGAACTGACAGGTACGGTTAATGCAACCTGCATTAACTTGTACAAGTTTGGATATACATCTTTATGTAGTATTTTTTTAATGTCATCTATACTGTTTTTTTTTTAACAATTTCTTGCTACAAGCATTTCTGCTTTTAAACACTCTGTATTTGAATTAATTTCTATGTCTAAACCATTAACGAATCGAACACATATTGAGAGTTGAGTAAAAAATTAATCTAATATTAAACAAAAATACATTTTTTTATTTAACTATAATATGCGCCTACCTCGTTACATCAATCATTATTGCAAAAAAACCAGTAGTTATTATTTTTCTAATGATTGTCAATCTTATATTATCTGCACTAATTTGTAGAATACTTTCTTGTATTTTCCAACTAGTGAAATTAATTTTTTTATCATTACACTCTTTAAAGTCCAATACACATTTAGAGAAAACATTGCAAAGTTCCAAAAAATTACCTTTAAAATATTGAAATAAAGTCTTATAACTTATGTTACTAATTGTTTATAGTTTTTATATTGTAGTATACATTTAGTACCTTGGTTACATGAATTAGAATCTTCACGGTGACCACGAAATGAAACGCTTTGTTTTGCAAGACACAAAACTATTTCGATAATATTTAAAATATAATTGAGATTCTTAATTACTATTTCATTGTGAGCACTTATGACTTGAAATTTAACACTTCCAGTTTTTTTACTGGATTTAAAAGCTACCATCTTTGATACATTTGTTAAATGAATTTTGGACATTTTGTGCTTATTTAATTTATCAGCAAACTGGATTGTATTGAAAATGTATAAGTTTAATGATTAATTTAAATATCTAAATTACTATTATTATTATTATTATTATTATTTATTTATTATATAAACTTACTTTTTGTCAATTAATAAGTCCAGTCTTAGTCCATGCTGGTTCAACATCACCTGTACCAAATATGCGGCAAACATAACAAAAAGCAGCATCTAATGTAGTGCTATATTCTAACCATGCTCATTCAACAAACCATTATTTATTAAAAGATCTTTGTTGCTTTCCAAACTTTGTTTTTGGATAAGCCTAAAAGCATTTAAGCATATGCAAAGCATTAAGCAGTTAACTATAAGTGTTTTTAATGGTATACTAAAAAATAAGTTAATTATTTAAATTGTATGTTTCATAAATAAACAAAATAATGGGTGGGTTAACTATAACATTTTTTAAAGCAATCAAAATAATTATATAAAATACGTAATAAGTACTTACATTCAAAATTAGACGGTATGATCCATTTTCTATACCTCCTAGTCCTTAATTCAAAATTTGAGAGGTACTGGTACATAAATGTTCACACAAACTACTTGACGTGCTTGGACTAGGATCATCAATCGTTTCACTGTCTGAATGGTCGGACTTATTTTGAATAATTTTTTTTTTTTTGTTACTATTACTAAAAATACTAAACATGAATATTGAATATCGAATAACAAATGTAATAACTGCGCTAAAAAGCTGAAACAAACACTTGCAATTTTAAATTTGAAAGACACAATATCACATCACAATTCACGCGTATGATATGTATATATGTATACGCATACGCTCTGAGAAAACAGCATCATACTATTTTTTAAATCATCGATAACGATTAACGACGGACGACGTGGTCGTAGAACGAATGAGACGGTCGATCAACAGTCTCAATTCTAATTGATAGGAGGTAAATAAAAGTTCGGGGGGAAAGAATCACAGCGATAATGGTTTATGTATGGAATCCGTGAGACTAGTCTCAGTAGTTTTTGCCACCCGGCGGTGCGTTATTCTACTTGTAAACCATTGTGTTCTTGTTAAAAATAAATATTTAACTATTAAAATTATATAAACTTACCTAAATTATTGTTTAAACTATAGACATTTGAAATTATAAAGACATGGAACTTGGGGGTGCTTAAGCACCCCCTAGCACCCCCGTAGTTGCGCCACTGCTAGGCTGTTTAATTTTAAGCGATTTAAAACCTCGTCCGCGCACGAACAATCAACTGTGTCAGCAGCTTTAGTGTGTTGTATTATTCAACAATTTCAAGGCTTACGAGTATATAGCCCACATTCTACTTGTATTAGTGCATTTTTTCCTTTTAAAATTAAAGTATTTATAAAATTGTGAAAAATACATTTTTAATTTACTAATAATTTGCAGTATGAAAGTTATTATTCTTTGAATTGTTTATAGACTTTCGGAGAGTGATATCAATACTGATTTAAGTTTTGTAAAAACTATTAAAACTTATCCTTGTTTATATCTTTCAAAAAATGATAATTCAGACAGAGATCAGGCCTGGGCGGAAATTGGATTGAAATATAACGCTACAAGTAAGTTTGATTTATTTGATATTTTTATGCAGTTGATGTATTACTGTTACAATTTTTAAATATTACAAAATATAAGTAATAATCTATAATAATAAAATAAAGTGTGTTCATGGATAATGGTAACACGAAGAAATATTTCGAACGCATTACCATGTATTGAATTCGGGTTTTTCTTACTGTATAAACGACTTAAAATTACATTAATTTTTGATTAAATTTTTAAAATAATTTTTTCCACGCTTGCGTGCCAAAATTATTTATTTTTAACAATTTTGACTAAAAAGTTTTATCCTATCTTGAAAATTGACCCATTGAGAATGAGTTAAATTTTTAATTTATGACATTTATTTCATCGTATTTTTTAAAGATCTATTTAGAGTTTTACAATGTTTCGAGTACTTTTGTTTAATTTTTTTTAAAAAATTATGTACGCTCTAATAAGAACAAAACATTTACATCATTTTTATTGAGTTTTTGACTCAAATTTCTCGAGAAAAAAATTTGAATTAATTAACCTAATAAATTTATACAGTTTTAAAATATTTAACTATTCAACCACCTTAGGTCTTATAAATTATTATATAAAATCTTATTTACTATTTTATCTTTAAATTTCTAAGTATTAGTCGAATGATAATAGCGGTTACAATTTCTGAATTTACTTACATTCAGTGGCGTATACAAGGGAGGCGTGAAGGGTCAGATCCCTTCCCATTATTTTTTTATTATTTAATTGTTTTTTGTTTTTCCATGTATTATGTAGTGTTCACTATAGTAAAATATTTTGTGATATGAATCTATCGAGCTATTGAATTTTGACAATTTTTTCCAATTCCGAAAACCATTATAATTTTATTTTCGTTTATTTATAGCAAAGTAATGTTTATTTGATATTTTGGTCGAAATGGTTAATGACTATGATTATACTTTATTATAGCTTGTCTTATTATTTATAGAGAAAATGCTATGTATATCATAATATGTAAGCTCAATTAAATGGACTAATGAGCGTCCACTGAATGTCCGTGTTTAAAATATTATCGAATACCATCGTTGCTATTAAGTTTTGAGAAATGAGAAAAAGATCATTATTACTACGGATTTAGTTCACCACGTATACATAGAACATACTATTTATTTATCTGAAATCTAAAAAAAAAAATTCATGGGATTATTGTTAATTAATTGCACCTATCGTGAATTCGTGGAGAATCTTAGTTCATAATTGTACCTAACTTTACAAAAACGGTAGTGCTTTCAGAAGTCAATGTAACATTTCGATTACCAAGTATAAAACACACTATAGTCGGGAGCACGAAAAATGATCGCTGCTCTTCATGCGACAAGCGGTTATTTTTCTAAAGTGGTTATCAAATCTATGCTCATTGTTCATGTTATCTCCACAGATATATAAAACAACTATATCTACTTATACCTATATCTGTGGTTATTGCTCATTATTCGTGCCCGTGAATATGATACGTGACGGTACAAAGTTGAGAACCAATGGTTACAACAGTGGATACGAATAACGAATTGCGGATACCAACGCTCATTTTTCGTGCTCTCGACTTTATACATCAAGTTTTGATCAAATTTACATTATTACATATTGCACTCGGTGTGTACGGAGTACAAATAATACGTCAAATTGAAAACGATTTAATCGTAACTTCTACTATATGATTATAACCATGATCTACAATATATTCAAACCTACTAGCATCTGACTACACCCGATAGTGAATAACAATAATAAAGTTGGTAACCATAACATTGTTATTAGTTATAACTTATAACTAAAAAGTGGATTTAATTGATATTGCAACTTTATTGATATCCAGTAAATCAAATCTGATCAAATATGTATACGAATCAAATTAATTACAGTCTTCTATTTAATTTAATAATGGAATTTTTTGCAATTATTGCAATTTTTGTTTACTTCACGTGATAAAATATGCAAATTATTATTTCCAAAATGATTTTACAAAAAAAATATATCTACGACGTCAATTTTTACATGTAGTTAAATGTAGTTTAGGTTTTTTAAAATTATATTTATCTGAGTTACCCACTAAACTCACAAGTTTAGAAGAATCCAATAGTTAATTACTTAATAGTTTAAACATATTTAGTATAAATACTAAATAAATAAATAAACATTAAACAAATACTAACTAAATAAAAATTTTTAGTATAAATATTCCTGGTCCCAATGGAAAAATAGTTAAATATAAATTAAAATATGTCTTTGAAAAAAATTAATGATATAAAACTATTAAAACGTGCTCTGAAATTATGACAGGAAATCAAAATATTTATTTAGATATATCACCCAATTTTTTAAACTATTTTAAATATGCATCGATAACAAGTGTCGACGTTAAACGTACTTTTTCATTATATAAACATATTTAACAGACAATACAATTTTCAAGGATACAATTTAGAGATGTATATAATTAATTCAGAAAAATAATATATTTTGTAAATTAATGTCCATAATATTATTTAAGTAATTAATTAATGATTATACATTTTATATGATTTTACTATGTAATTTTAATATATTTCATTGCAATTTGAACATATTTATACTGCAAATTGATACATTTTCATTGAAATTTTGCCATCTTTTTAGTGCAATTTTTAGATATTTTTAATGCAATTATATCTTGTCTTATAACTTATAGTATTAGTTATTACTGTTAGTATAGTAATCAAATATGAGTATTAAAAGAAAAAATAATACTCTACTTTCATGTTTCAATAAAAGTACAAAGTCAGTTGTCGATAATATCTAAGTAAAAAGTTTTGCAATTTTCCCCTCCCATTTACCTATGTCTTTTTTTTTTTTTATCCTGTTTCAGAAATTATGTCTACGTCACTGCTTACATTCATATTAAAATTATAACTTTATAATTAATAAAAATAATAATAAAAATGTGTTTAATTATTCATTTGCGACACATATTTATTTTTTCATTATGATTCCAAGCTTTAATAAAAAAACAAATATGCTATTAATTTATGGTGAATGTTATAAAAATTGGCAAAATTCATTAACAGAGCAGGGATGGACTAAGGTCTGGATGGGCATAATTCTTAAAAATTAGTAAACTAGCGACTCATATAACATGACCAAATACAGATTAAGGCTAAACATAACATTTTTAGAGAGCCCGGGTGGGTGTGGCCTGTAACAGAGTATGCTGAGTGGTACCCAGATTGATATCACCCATCTTACAACTTTTATGCGAAGCAAGAGGAGTTTGTGAGAGAACGGACAATTGTCCAAAATACGTGGTAATGACTGCCCTAATAGAAGACCACAATCAAGGGAAGATAATGATGAAAAATTGGAGTTATCAACATACATTAATATTAATCTTTATAATTCCTTACGACATAAGACTAGAGAATTTAATTTGTCTGTGGGAAAAGTGTGTACTCAATTCAACTCATTTTTAAGAAAGCACAAAAATTTATAAGTCAAAATTGTTTGAAAAAAGTAAAGAAACGCAAAAGATGGGGAAGTGTGTACAGTAAAAAAAAAAAAATTTGACATGAGTGGAAAAAATTATTTTCAAAATTGTGTAATTTAAGTTCTTTATACAGTAAAAAAAAAAACCTAAATTAAATACATGTTAATGCGTTTTAAATATTTTATTACCGTTATCCTTACATATACATTATACATATGTATTATGGTTATGTGAGAAAATACTTGTCATAGTATTTAAAGACTAGCAAAAATGATATTTTATAGCTCACAGTCAACCAAAATTATTAAAATTTAATTTGAAAAAAAATACTTATTTATATAATATTTATTAATTTAAAAAAGTTTTTATTTTACTGGTATAATTAAATTGTCATTAATATTTTAAATCAATGATGTACTTATTGATATTATTATCTTATCGTGCTTATCTAATTTTAGACACTGCCAATTATTCTACTTAATAAATAATATTTTTATTTATTTTTTTTTTTTTTTTGTAGTTTCTGAATGTAAAGAGAGATGGAAAAATCTTAAGATTTTATATAAAAAGAAAATATTAAAAAAGTTAAGATCATCTAATGCATCAAATAAGTCACTAGATCAGTCAGGTTTGTAAATTGTATATTAACTAAACATTTATGACTAAATTTCTTAAAATGATAATTTAAATTATGTATGTACTTAATTTTTTCAGATAATGTACATGAACTGATTTTCTCTAACAATGAAAATAGTTACAAAGAAGAATTATTTGATAGTAATTTTTTTTCTTATAATCAAAATAGCAATTCAATTATAATTACAAAGGATACACTTGATTCAAATAATCAAGATTCTTCAAATTTAAGTTCTATTCAACCAAACCTGTCATCAGTTTCAAACCTAAAGTCTCAAGTTGATAAAAAAAAATCTGTTGCTTCAAAAAATGATAATAGTACATCTAAAAGTTTATCTAATATAAATGATCAAGATTTTTCAAACTTAAGTTCTATTCAATCAAACTTAT